CTGCAGAGTCTGGGTCTGCTGATAGGGGGCGCCATCATGCTTTGCGTCGCCCTTTTTGAGGACCATATTGCTGTAAGCTTGGGAGAAATCTAAGGATATGAAGAAGACTATCTAAATTAAATCCTCAGGATGTCACACCAGAATTTCCATCCATGCAGCGGTATTATGCATTTACCTCATACCATAATGAACTACGGTGTCGCTACTGCGTGGATATTCTGAAGAAAGTGCACTGGATGGATTGCTATAAAAAGAGATACAGTGGGAGGAACTCGTATATACACATCCTTGGGCAACTTCTTTTCAACCTAAGCTGAATTTTATGTAAGAAAAACTTCTTACTGAATGAGGACATCTACAGAAACTTCTAGGGCTTATCTATAAGAAGAAGAGTATTTCAGGCCTGAATGAGTTCAATGATGTGTCGTCAGTACGTTTTTCATTTATCATATAAATGTTTCTACGTCTTGCAACTTTAAACAATTCTTTTTTTAAAATGATGTATGGTTGTTGTTAAAATTATAAAAATGAACCATCTTTATAACAACCATAATGTCATTGTTTCCTGAAAAAGAGCATTTATGAATTTATAGCCATAATGAAGTTATGGCTATTAGTTATAATTTTAGTTACAATTTCATAATTCTAACCTGAATAATTTCAAACAATTATTGCAAAGTAACATTGCAAAAACATTGTCATTTTAATATGGAAGCTTGTTTCTGACACCGAATAAAAAGTAAGGGTAATTTGACTTTTTCCCTCAGAACTGCGAGACAACTTTGACATTTTTCCTTGCAATTCTGAGTTTATACAAGTTTATATATAGTACATAAGTTTATATCTCACTGCTTTTAAGGACAAGTCTGATTTGGGTGATATAAATTCCCAAACATATATAGAATTGCAAGAAAAGTTAGAATTGTCAGCGTTATTTCAGTTTTTTTATTCTAGAAATAAACTTCCATTTATTCAGATGATTTACTAAAGAGAAAAGAAAAACACCAATTAAAATATTAGCAGGGCAAGTATCAATCAGAACTACTGGCCAACAGAAAAAAATAAACTGAGTCCTAAATTTAGTCTGTTTCAACATTTTGTAGTGATCAGAGCAACAAAAGAAAGACACACCACAACAACTTGTATGTAAGCAATAGCATTTTATTTCAACATTACCAATTCTAAGCCACGATACTAAATGACAAGACCTACTGGCTGCAGCAGTTCATGAACCTGACTAACAAAAACACATGGGATATTTTTTTTTATCTTTAAAGTCAGAGAGACCAATTCATTTTTAATAAGCTCAAATTAAAAATGATTATGTTCTTTCTTACTTAAATACATGTACAGAGTTTCACATCTGTTAGTAACAAGTAACCATTCACAAGCTCATACTATGAATTAACAAGGCAAAGTGCTTTCAGGATTGCATTGTCACATAAGGAAATGAATGGCTTGAGGTCTTTTTGTGGGGTTGAAAGGGTGAGGGTTCGCCTTCCTCAGGTCTAGGAGAGGGTCACATGACCGTCCTGACAGATTCAGGCAGAATACACCGAATTCGCCCCGTGCCCCCAGGTCCAAAATGGATATGTACAGAGGTACAAAGTTGGCAGGGAGGCGGATAGCTAACACGGATTAGCCAGTGACCGGAGTAGTGTTTTTGGAAGGGCGTAAGGCTAGGGGAACTCTACATACCCCATATTTTAGTACAGAATGAATGTGCATAACTCAAACCAACCAACCCCCTTTCAAACCTCCACCACCAGTAGAAAATTGAGTTGTTGCTTCAGTACCAAAGTCATACAACCATCCACGCACTCTACTGAACTCGACCAGATGCACGTACATACCATGAAGAGCTGTAAACTTGAGTTCAGAGCGCTCACAGTGAACATTTAGAAGTGAGAGAAAGTGAAAGAGACAGAGAAACGGAGGGAAAAACGAGCACGAATGTAAATGCCAGCTAGTATAGGCTGATATGTTTTCCCTGTTTTGTCAAAATAAAGCAAAGAAAGGAGCGATAGAGGCAAGACACTTATGACATCATTTGAAATATAATGGGGAGAAAGTTGGATTCGAAGAAAAAAAAAGAAATCATAATACAGTCTGGCTTCACATTCCAGTGGTACTCTGTTGTGTACACACTTATCATGTGTATCACACAAATATCATGTTACAGACACACACACACAGTCAAGTACGCTAACGGTCATCTTATATCACTTTAATATTGTTTAAGTTATATATCTGTTCATATACATATATATTTCCATTTGTCATCAACAATTGGAGGAGTTTTCAATGCATCAAGCTGTAACACAGAGGTAGGATAATGCTACTTAAAATGCCTCACATTTCGCTAATTTTAAACCATTGTGTCGGCGATGGGTCAGGCTTGAAGCGGAGCGGCAGGTGTTTTTTATGCAAGCAAGTGGTGATCTTATTGGTTGATACGGAATCGGTGTGATGTCGTAGACCCTGCAATGGTTCCAGGCTTCTGCTGGTGATGGTATCTCCTACACGTTTAACTTAAAGACAAGATAAGAATATTTGCAGATATGTCGATGAGGTATACAGGGTTGATATGACCCCTGTTTGTCGCACTCGCACGCACAACACATACACACTGGGTGCTGCCCTACACGATCGCTCGCTATGTTTCCATCGTCGAAACAATTAGCGGAGAACGGCTTGGAGTTCAATACTCAAGTAAATAGTGCAGTTTTAAAGTCAGGGTCACATTTCCTTCACGTCATAATGCTTTTCAAATACTTGGCATGTTCAAGCAGAGCTCGGAAGCAGTGACAGTAACCCTGTTTTTGCGGGAATCCATCTCAGCTGCTCGGTTCTGCGTTTCGGCGATGGAAACACAGCCACGGTGTAGTATTATTATTATTTTTTTTTTCATAACAGCAATCTTTTGGAAAGTCTTAAAGACGGCGGGTCCTAGTGAAACTGGATTCAAACATGGGACGCAGGAGGTCCGCTCGATTAAAGCCAGTCGCTTCGAAATGGCCAAATCCTGCACGCATCCAATTCACATTCAGTTTGACTGAAATAAGGCTCTCTCAGCACTGAAATCTCTTATGTTGGATTCAGTTACAAGAAGAGGGTGTTAACCAAAGGTGCCACAGATTACATAGCCAGGCCAAAAGCAGCCAGAGTCAACAAATCTTTAGAAATATACAATTGTCTCTTGATACTTGTATTGCTTGTTCTTGAATGAAATCAAGTGGCCATCTCTACAGAGACATACATTGGTCCTATGTTGTGAAATACTAGATTACTTTATTCAGTGTGCTCCCTGTGATAATCAAATATGAAATCATTGATTGCTTGAAGCCAAAATGAAGGACCTTAAAGTAAGTTACAACTTAAGGTTTTCTGAAGATTATTATATGACTTCTGGTATTGGTTGTCAACGGTACTTCTGTTTTGAACAATGAAATTCAAAAGGAATGTTTCTTTATGATACAGGTTTCATTTTTTTGTTTATTATTTAAAACGTACGAAGACATTTAATGACAAATATTGGGATCTTGATGTCAGACCCCCACCCCCCCCAA